TCACAGCAGGGAACAATGAGGGGCCATATGGAAGACAAAAACACAGACACCAAAATTCAGGAAATAGTCACATGAGTGCATTAAGTACAGCCATTACAGTGTATTGAATTATAAAGATTCCTGTTAGACACAACACTGTGTGCCCGTCTGTAGCTGATTGGTCACTCAGTGGATCAGTGTTTAGAGAGGCATTTACATCCTGTCCAAAGGCATCCACTGGGTTCTTATGAACGCTTATGTTAACATGGAAGCATTGATGTCAACAATAGTTTATACTTACATAGTATCTTATAATTCAACGTACCTGTCGTGTGTTGCAGCAGATGTATTAAATGCACCAATCTGCTGACAATCTTTTTAGTTTTTTGGCTAACACTCTTATCTGGGGATTGGTTTTGGCTTATATTATGAGCATCCTAAAAAAAAAAAAAATCACTGGCACTTATTTTCCAGTTAGGTCTTATTTTCAGGGACAAATGGTGATAGTATTTAAAACTCCCTAGTTTATAAGTAAGGAGATTTATTGTTAGCTGTCTTTGCTCCATCAATGCACCATGCTGTAAAAAACCAAGGTATCACCTAGCTGCTGCTGCTGCTGCTGCTGCTGCTGCTGCTGCTGCTCCTGCTCCTCCTCCTCCTCCTCCTCATTATTATTTGCAGTGCCAGGGATTGAACTCTCATCCTTGTACTTGCCAGGCAGGTGCTTAGATCACTGTCTCCCTGGTTCTAATTTTTCTTTTTTACATTTTAATCTAATGAAGGATTCTGCTACTTTGTGGGGGAAAATTCAAAAAAATTAACTGAGGAGAGAATTTAGTTCCAGGGATGGATGCTTTTTGCCAGTACTGGGGTTTGAGCCCAAGGGCTCACACGCCACAGGCAAGGGCTCTGTCACTTATGTACATCCCCAGTCCTTTCAAAGCTTTTTACCAGGCACATTGGTGCATGCAGGTGATCCTCTCCTGAGGCAAGAGGATCGCTGTGAGTTCAAGGCCAGACTAAACTGCAGTGTGAGCCTGTTTGCCGGGGCTGGCCTTGGACTTGGTGATCCTCCTGCCCCAGCCTTCTGCAGATGGAGGCACAGCATGTCACCCGAGCTGGGGAAAATGATCTTTTGAGACTAGGTCCTGCTATGTAGTTGAGGCTGGTCATAAACTCACTATGAAGCCCAAGCAAGCCTTCTGTCTCAGCCTCCTGAATTCTGGGATTACAGGAATGTGCCACCATATCCAACAAAAATGATTCATCGAAGTGCAAGAAAGCATCTTTATAAAAACAAAGTGCAGGTTTTCTAGTTATCTATGAAGCTCAGAAATTCTTTGGGGGGTGTGGAGAGATAGTTCAGTAGGGCTGAGTTCAATCTCTGGTTCTGCCAAAAAAAAAAAAAAAAAAGAGCTTGGAACCTTGTCACTGAGAATGGCTATGGTTCACTTGGGTAGAAAAACATGTGTTGGGGAGATTGGAACACAGCTGCCCTGTCCCCAGCACTAACCCTCGGAAAGAAAGGGTCTCCTTTAAAAAAAAAAAAGAAGAAAAGAACTTCCTTTGCCCTCCTGAGGCACCCTGCCTCCCGCGCCCACACATCCAGCTGACCCAGCAGGACTTCTGGCAACCAGAAACTGGTTTGCTCCAGAAAAGACACACAACACCGCCACTGTACCTTTTCTCAAGAAAGACAACTTTTTTTTTTAAAGACAAGATCTTGCTAAGTTCCCCAGTCTCCTAGGGTGCTGGGATCGCAGGTCGGTACCTAGCGAGGAAAACTGGCACATTCCATGCCAGCACTGGCAAACCTACAGCATGCACGTTACTGTGATTTTAAGACAAAAGATGTTAAAAAAAAAAAAAAAGACAAAAGATGTTAATGTAGAGTTTGTTTTTTCTAAACTGAAACGTCAGTATTCAGGTCTAATTGCAGCACTGGAACTTTTCAAAGAATAAATGGGTTTTGGGTTGCAGATTGGCACTTGGTTTCTAAAAGCTCTGACATCACTGTTACATACTGATGTTATTTTTGCTTTACTTTAGTTTGAATTTGTAGTAGCAGGGCCTAAAGCCAGTCTTTGCCTTGAGCCGCCGAACTACCTCTACAGACTCTTTGACGCAGGGTGTCGCTAAGTTGAGCAGTCGTGCACATTCGCCTGGAACTTTCCATCTTCCTGCCTCAGCCCTCCTAGAGTGATGGGAACTGCATGCTCAGCACATTACTTACTTACCACATGAGCCTGAGTTCATGTATTTCATAAAAATATACACCATACCAGAACACTCTATCCTTTGCTCAATTTCCAGAAAGTAAAATATAAAGAAGACAAAAGCAACAAACAGGTGAAGCAAGGTCGAGTGAGGAGCCACCCTCCCCGCCCTGCTCAGCATCATGGTAAGCAACAAAGGGGGGGCTGCGGGAAGGTGGACCTGGGCCCCCCACGCAAGGAACAGCATCGCCTTCACACGGGAGCAGTGCCACTCGCGGCCACGGCGGCAAGTTCGCTTCTGACCTTTAGGAGTCAGCCAGTGTTTTTAGTACAGGGTCTACAGGCTCTCACTACGTAGATGGGGCTTGTCGTGACCCTCCTGTTTTCAGCCTCCCAAGCAGGGGTGTTCCACCAGCCCAGTCTCAGTTGCCATCTCAGCGTGCCCCAGGGGCGGAGCGGGCATGGCACGCTAGGGATCGAACCCCAGCCCCTGCACCTGCCTAAGGAAGTGCTTTAATCTGCTGAGTTGTCTGGCTGGCCCATAATTCAACCAGTCTTTATAGGCCCCCAAACAGCTGTCAGCGCCGGGGACCAGAGTCAGGCTGCGTCTCCATGAACGGAAGGCTCTGTGGGTGGAGCTGTTGTCATAGGAGGTCACGGAGGAAACACTGGTATAGCTTAAATACTGCATGGATTCCCTTACACGAGAAACTACGAGAGCCAATTTTAAGAGCAAATAAAAGCTAGATGACAGGAGGCTGGGAGGGACCTGAAGAGAGGGAAAGGAGGCCTGGGGCTGGGCGCGGGGGGAGGGCCGAGGTGCAGCACGTCCTTGTGCCATGCCCCCAAGGAACGTGTTTATCCTTGTCCCAAACGTACACTAATAGGAAAGGGAAGAGTGAAAGCACCTCCGTGTAGTGGAACTTGAAGATCTCCACTTAGTACTGAATAGAATGTAACCGGCACGCTATAGAGTAATACTAATATGAACCCAGGTATACAAATGTCTTTATTTAAAAAATGTGGAGTGCTAGGTCCAGCATGGTAGCCACTGCCATACATGGTCCTTGCAGGTATCTATAGTCGATTGTCTTTATTCAAGACCCCCCAGAGACGCGAGAGGCAGCAAAGCCCGAGCTGCCCCACAGCGCCTTCCCTCCTTCCCCGCCTCCCCTGGCCCGCACAGAGCCTTGGCTGGACCTTCAGCGGGTAGGCGCCCAGCGAATGCCAAGATCCAGGCTTCTGTCTAACGGAGACGTCTTCCTCTAGTGCACATCTACCAAAACTAGAGGAGCATAAAGAGAAAAGCCCAGAGAGGTGTCCAATGCAGTCATTTTGAAATATGCTATGGGTCCAGCTTTACCTTTCTTTCTTACTATTCCTACGATTGTATAAGCATATCATAGGGGTTACACTGTTGGCTCGTATAAAGTCCTGGGGAGGGAGTACGCCGGGGCTATCTCCGTGGGCCACCACGCACAAGTGTGGTCTACGGGGTGTGCAGACATAGCGCGTGTACTGCGACTGCTGGCTTGTCTTAACAATTTATTCTTTTTTTTTTTTTTTTTTTTTGTGGTACAGGGGATTGGACTGAGGACCTTGCACTTGCTAGGCAAGTGTTTATTCTACTGAGCTAACTCCCTGGCCCTAACGATTTATTCTTGACTTATTTTGATAAGCAGACACATGTATTTTTCTATTACAAATAACCTACTCCTTGATTCATATCAATATTTATAATGATCTTGATTAAAACAGATGCCACAAAATGCTACTGCCAACAGACTTCCTTTTTGTGGGGCCTCAGACCATGGGCTGCTGTCACCAAGAGCTGGGGAGCTGGTGGGCCACTTGGGCCTCACATCCAGGGCTCCCAGCCTTCCCAAGTCCTGCCCAGGATGTTGGGGTCCATCGCCTGGTCCAGCAAGCACCTCACTTGGGCCTCTGCGGAAAGCCCACTCTCTGGCTCTCGGGCACGGACGCTGTGCTCTCGACTGCCCCGCGCGACGGCTGTGTAGCTCCCAAAGGCGGGCGACTCCTCGTGGCCCAGGAGTAGCTCATCACTGGAGAGGAGACAAGATGCTAACTGCGTAAGTAGGTAGTAAGAGTCACCAAACCAGACACACAAGAACAGACAGCCTGTTGTCCTCATGGCCTGAACTCCCTGCTACTCCACAGTGACATTCTCTCTCATCGATAGTGAAACATGCTGGTCATAACTCAAAAGTCAAAAGCTGGACGTGAAGTACAATGAAATGCTAACAGCGCTGCTATTAGTTCCTTCAAGGTCTGGGGGAGACACGCACTTTTATTTCTCTAGGCAGATGCCTAGGGACACGCCTGCGTAAGGACCAACCCTAGGCCTAACAGCTTGAAAAACCATCAGACTATGAAAACAGGCAGTCGAGCCATCCTTTCCTGGTTTCTTGAGACAGAGTCTCAGCTCTGTGGCTCACCACTGCTCTGGCATGCGCTGTGTGGCTCGGACTCACCTGGAGCTCACAGTGATCCTCCAGCCTTAGTCTCCCAAGGGCTGGGGTCCAGGTGGGCGCCACCACGCCTGGCTACCTGTGCCCCTTCTAAGCCCACCAGCAGGGCAAGCAGATGCTGATGCTCTGCACCCTTCCAGCACTGTGGCTGCCAGCCCAGTAGCGTGAAGCGCCGTCTCGTTTGCATTTTCCTGACAACCAGTTATGCTGAGCATGTTTTCATGTGTTTATTTGCCACATGTATAGTTTATTTAAAGGGATGTCAGTATGATTCTTCTGGCTCTTTTTAAACTGAGTTATGTGCCTTATTTTTTGAGTTGTATGAGTTTTTTTTTTTTTTTTTGGTCCTGGGAATTCAACTCAGGAGCTTGCCTCTCTAGGCAGGCGCTATACCACTCAGCTAGCTCCCTGGCCTGTTGTATGTTTTATATTATTTTGTACATAAAACATTTGTTAGCTATCATATGATTTTCTCCCACTTGGTACACTATCTTTTTACTATATTTTTTAGGGAGAATGGGGGCAGGGGCAGGGAAAGGACCCACAGCTGTGCACATACCAGGTGACTGACCTCCCAGAGCTGTTCTCACCTCCTGACTGCCTGCTAGAATCCCAGCAAAACACAAACGTATCCTGGGAACCACAAAAGTTCTAGGTTTTTCTCCCCAAATACTAGGGATTAAACCCAGGATCCTGGCACTAAGCCACAACCCCAGCCTGTTTAAACTTTTTTAAATTTTATTTATTTTCGGAACCGGGGATTGAACTCAGGCCCTTGCGCTTGCCAGGGAAGTGCTTATTCCACTGAGCCATCTCCCTGGCCTTTTTTAAATTTTAAAACAAGGTCTTCTTTTTTTTTTTTTTTTTTGTGGAACCAGGGATTGAACTCAGGCACTTACACTTGCCAGGGAAAGCGCTTATTCTACTGCGCCATCTTCCCAGCCCTAACAAGATCTTTCTAAGTCACTAAGCAGCCCAGTCAGGGCCTGAACTTCAATCCCGCCTCCCCCCGAGCCTCCCAGAGTGCAGGGATGGATTATATGGATTATGGTGTGCGCCAGATGGTGGTGCCTCCTACGGGTTGCACAGTACTTTAGACACGAACCCAAAGGTCAAAAGCCGATTTGAACTCTAGGTCTCCTCCCTCAGGAGCACTCTGGTACCACCCAGTACTGCCACTGGAGCATCCTGACCCAGACACTGACATGAAGCTGAGGTCTCGGCCCAGTGGCAGGCACAGGCTCAAGTCCTAGTCACCTGGCCCGGGAGACTAGACTCACTTTCCTCATTGGAAAAGTGAGGGCAGGCTGAGTGTGGCGGTGCACACCTGTAGTCCCAGCCCTGAGGAGGCTGAGGCAGGAGGATCATGAGTTTGAGGCCAACCTGGGCCGCACAATGAGTGCACACTGGCCCAAGCTGCACAGTGAAACGCTGTCTCACCCCCTGTACCCCCAAGCAGGCAGGACAGTCACACCACTGCCACAGGCCCCATAAACTCCTTGGGTACATATGGCACAGTGGTTCTCTGAGATAGCTCATTGGCGTCCTGTTTGCTTTTCCTACAAACAATATCTTACCATGTAATAACGGCTGGATTGGCACCTGCCAACTTTCTCTTGGAGTAACATATTTTCTGTCGAGGATACCAATTTTTTTCAGTTACATTTACTTTTTGAATCCATGATCCTCCTTTTTTCAGCATTTTCTGTTCAAAATTCTAAAGAAGAGAATGGGATGTTACTTACAACACAATTGAATAGATTAAGTCAGGTAATAACCCTAAAACATCCTTAACTGGGCTCAGCCCTCTGGCCTTTCACGCGGATTCCAGGGTGGGCCGGAGCGCTGCAGGGAGGCATGAGGCTCACCCCTAAAGGAGCGCCACCGCCGCCTGTGTGCCTGGGGCTGTATTCGGACAGCCCTCCGCACTGCGGTAGCACTGTCTTTCCAATCAAGGAAGAACAGTTTTAAACCAAAACCTGTCGGAGAGCAATCAGATCCACCAGTCGCCAGTAGGTCCACATTCCCACTTCCAGTGAGAAACAGCCTCGCTTGAAGCTACAGCTTTCGCCAAATCAAGTTTCTGTCTCTTACCTGGTTTTCAGGCTAAGTGGTCCCAAATGTTAATTTTGAGAAATGCAGGACAAGATGATGCAAATATTTTAGTACACACAACCGGACACATTTCACTACATAACTAGACACTGAACCAACCACTGGAACACCGTGATCAACAAGATAAATGCCCAGAAAACCCACCTTCCAGTCGAAGGACGGCTCCCTCACGAACACGTCCATGGTGTTGGTGAGCAGGCCGGCCTCTGCGCGGAAGGCCCGCAGCGCGTGCACCATGACGCTGTACACGAGGCCCGTTTCTTTCATCGGTAACAGCAGATTGATGAACTGGCGGGTTAGGCGGAAGGGCATCAACTCGGGGACCGGCAAAAACTGAGCAAGAGAAAAGAATATGCTCAGAGAGTGGAGACATGAAAACATGAGGATGCGGTGTGCACGGTACCACCTCCCCGCGGTGAACACGCAAGAGTGCGTGGACGCCCACAGACTCCGCAGACTGATTCGTTTCCAGAAGCACTCAGAGGCTAACGGCAGAGGACGGACTGGTATGTGTGACACGAGACATTGTAATTATGGGGCTTCCTCTGTCAAGGCCTCAGAGGCCTCGTATACAGATGCAGCTTATTCCTGAGTTGATTACATAAGCTATCGCCACATCTCCCACGACCAGCCTGAACAAGCCTGTAAGGAGGCTGAGATTTCTTTTGTCAGACTTAATGACCACGACCAACATCAACCTAAAAAGTCACGTCTTCTGTAAGAACTATGCATTTCTTTTTTTTTTTTTTTAATTTTATTTATTTATTTGTGTGTGTGTGTGTGTGTGTGTGGCCAGCTCAGCCCACCGGGGGCGGGGCTGGCTGGCATGTGGTGCTGGGGGACTGAACCGTGGTCCCTGTGCTTTGCTGAGCTTGTTCTAAGTAGGTGCTTTAGACCACTGAGCCATCTCACCAGCCCAGAACTATGCATTTCTAGAAGGTGCTATCACTGGGGGTGATGGTGCATGCCTGTATTCCCAGCATTTAGGAGGCTGAGGTGGAAAGACTGCTTCAAGTTTGGGGCCACGCTGGACTGCATAGTGAGTTCAAGGCCAGCCTTGACTACATAGTGAGACCTTGTCTCAACTGCCCCCCAAAAAGGAAAGTGTTACACAGCCACATGACGACCCCAAACTCGCCATAGGAAGGCGCACACACCTGAGTGGCCGATCCGAATGCGTGTCCGAAGTCGATGCCAATCATGCCACCTGTCTCCATGGTCACCATGAAGTTGTTCAGGTGCCTGTCTCCGATGCCAAGGAGCCAGTGGCTGATGCACAGCAGGGCGTGAGAGGTGGCGAAGTGGGAGCGCAGAGCCAGGAAGGCCTCGGGGCTGGTGCTCATCTTCACAAAAGCCCGCCTGGGAGAGAGAAGCCGGCACCAGGGTTTAGATCTGGAATCTGCACCATGATCTCATGCGGCCAGAGCTGGGGCTTCGGGGAGGGGCCAGGAGCAGAGTGACAGTGACATGCTGGGTGGGCGTGACCTGGAAAGGACACCTCCCCTCTGGCTCCTCCCTTGGCTCTGTTCTGGCCCTCTACTGCGCTGCTTCTGCCTCACAGCCAGACAGCCACGGCCCAAAACTTCTGAAACTGCAGCCAGACTAAAGCTCTCCTCCTTCGGCTGGGGGTGTCAGGCATTGTGTCCTAGAGCTTGACAGTAGCCACGGCACCCCTGTGGCCATCGCGACCCCCAGAGCCACCTGTGAAGGCACAAGCGTACTTACTTCAAGAGGTCAGCAGGCACTTTGCTTTCTCTTTTTCTGAACGCCATGACCGTTTCTGTACGGTTAGCTGCACTATGATTTAATGACATAAAAGTCTCTCAGAACCATTACTTACAACATGAAATTAAAATTTTAACTCTATACTACAGCCCAAATATGAAATAACTAGGTTTTGACGATCTCAAGGCAAAACTTTCTAAGAATCAAAAGTAAATGTGCAACTTTGAGAAGAAACAACTAATTAATACAAAAGAAAACCTGAACTTACTTATACATCAACATGTAACTCCCAGCATTCTGTCTTCCCGACATCCTGGCCAGCCACTCTTTGTAGTCCTTCCCTGGTGCTCTGACGTCATTACTAACGAGGACAAAAGGGAACCGGGATGAGGGTGGTACTTGGCCTTATATAATACTAGAGGCAAAAACCACTCACTGAGAAATAGAAGAGGCTGGGAAATACACAACCTTCATTCACACTTGATGTCAACCTCTGACCTATGGTACTCTGGATCCAGACTTTCAATGTGGCATGACTCAGTCTTGACTACTCCAAAAGAAGCCCAAGCAATTTCCTATTCGAAAGTTCAGGCATGAAACACTCACCTACAATCAATTTTCTGCTCCACATGGTGTATAATCAAATGAGCATCAGTGACCTGGGCATGACTCAGGAGGGACCCTGAGATGGACTAGAAATGCTTCCTAACACAGTGACTGTGCTGCGCAAGGTCACCCTGAGCAAAGGCGGACACAACGCCCATGCGTCCCTGAGAGGATAAGGCCGACTCGTAGCTTAGAGCATGGCTGTACCTTTCTTCAGCAATTTCAGTATGTAGATACACATGAAACCCATGACTACCATGAAGTGTTTCCTTAAATGACACTGGATGCTAAACTTGAACCTGCAAAGCTGTTTTTAATAATGGCTCATAGGACACAGACAGCAAATCCGGGCCAGCGTAACATTTGTATTTCTGGGCCACTTGAGGTTTAGTGACAAGAGCTGTAAGTTTTCCTAAAACCAAACAAGCAATCCCAAAACTAAACATAATTATTTTTTAAAATGTATGTCTCAGTTCAATCATTTAAACTATTTTTTTCTCAGCTTTAACTAAGTTCACAAATAGGTTAAAACATTTCGATGTAAATTCTTTTTTTTTTTTTTTTTTGGTGGAACTGGGGATTGAACTCAGGCCCTTGCGCTTGCTAGGGAAACGTTTATTCCACTGAGCCATCTCCCCAGCCCCAACCATCTCCCTGGCCCCTCAATGTAAATTCTCTCCTCTGATTTGCCCCCTTCCCCAGTCTCCGAGGCTGGGCTGCAGGCCTGCAGGCTGCACCCCACCAGGGCTCTCCTCTCCCACTTTTAACAGCCAGCAAACTTCTAGTTGTGAAACTGCAAGGTATTAAATTAAGGACGAAGTAGCACTATCTTGGCGCAGGGCAGCACAAGGAGCCGAGGAGCCGGCAGGGGTTCTGAGGGCTTCACTCTGACCCCACGCTCACCTCTCTGGATTCCGCCAGGAGGTGGGGTGGGGTGGGGGGGCTCCAGAGGGCCGAGTCCTAGCTCGGGGCACCCCGTGAGGCAGGATCTCAGCACCAGGTCAGACCTGCTGCTAGGAGGCTGTGTCCATAAGCTTCCTGCTCTTGGAGGAATGAGGAATTCTGGGCGAAGCACCCAAATACTTAGAATTAAAAGTGGGTAGGGTTCGGTCCTCAGCACCACAGAAGGAAAGAAAAAGAAAACAAGGGGCAAGCCGCCCTGCTTACTATTTCCAGGGAACGTGGGTTTGATGAGAATATGCTACATTTTACGGAAACGCATCCTGACTGAGAAAATCCTGTGGCTAAGTACCCTCAGGACAGAGTGAGCCGTGTCCTCTTCCTCACCCCACAGCTTGTCACCCAAACCCAGCAGCTCTGCTTCCAATGTGTCTTTCACTACATCAGTCCTTGTTTTTATTTTAAAAAGCAAAGAACAAACTTGAAAATATTTCTGATAAAAAAATACATGCTCGTTATAGAAAAAGTAGAAAAAGGATAAAGAAAAATATAAGAAATGATGTAGAATTGGTAATAATCCCAGCAACAGCATTTATGGGCTGTGCGACGTGGGATGAAGTACTGAACCTCTCTGGACCTCAGCTGCCTCCTCGGGACAGAAACAGTAACAGTTACCTTGTAGATTGTGCTAAGAAGTAGTTTATATACATCAAGAACTAAAATAGCTCCTCGCACAGGGAAAATATTTAATTAAATTCAGCTGCAGATCTATTATCTGCATTTTATTTCTAAGATATTTTTCTCCAAAGTTAATACTTGGAAAAAAAAAACTTGTGAAATATGTGCACCTTCTGATGACACCACTCCATTTAGTTTATCCGCCCAGCAGAGGCAGATTAAAGAACCTCAGAGCAGCAGTAACAGGCCCTGCCACACCCCTGGAGAGGGGTACACGGGCATGTCAGCCACCTGGATGGGGGCGTGGGGCCCACACAGACCAGGCAGAAACGGCAATCCCTTCACACTACCTCATGTATGCTTCCTTCTCCTCTGCGGACATGCTGTTCAAAAGAAAGTCCTTCAAGGTAGCAGTATTTTCAATCCATTCAATTAATCCTAATCTGAAAATAAACATAAAGTGATGAAGAAATGCAAACTCCAACCACTTTGTTAGAGAAAAGTGTTCTGGAGAACCACAAGACGAGGCTCCTCCTGTCTCCTCAGCCTCCCTCTCCCACATAGGGCTGTTCCAGGGCCCCACTGGGCTTCTGCCTGTGGGGTTGCCCTCCCTAGCCTCCCCACACCCACTTGGGTGGCACCTGGAGGTCATGGGCACCACCCGGTACGTCCTCAGCTGCATGTTCCTCTGACTGCAGGCAGCGTCTTGGGAGAGGACCACGTTCATGACCTCAAAGAGCTGCTCGATGCGCTGGTCCTGCCGCAGGTCCTCACCGCCCTTCACCAGGAAAGGGTACTCCCGCTCATCGTGGCCCCGGATGATGATGCGCTTCGGTCTTCTGATGGAATTCATTACTTTTACCTTTGCAAATGAAGAAAATATTTTGCATATTTCCAGAGATTAGTCCGCCCTCCCTGTCAGAAAGGGAAGGTGAACCTGGCTGCACGCAGTGCTCAAAGAGAAAATGCACTCTGCAGGCAGGGTCAGGTGACAGCAGGACAGACAGCCAGGACAGCACAGCCTAGAGCCAGTGAAGAAGGACAGGAGAGGGATGGGGCAAGGGATTTGTCTGTGTATGTAAGCCGGATGGCTTGGAGCACTGTACTGTGCACTTCTGCTGGTCTACGGAAAGGAGCAGTGAATGCTTTGTTTCCTCTCCTTTTTTGAGTGTTTCTCCTTTTTGTCTTAATTTCTTATACATTTCCTTTTTATCTTCCAATTTCACATGCATATATCTGGTAATATGAATAACTGGTTGGAAGACAACACTATGTATTACAATAAATACTGTGACAGACTAAAGTCCCTGCTTAGGCAGGCACAGGGACTAGGCTCGATCCCTGGTGTGCCATAATGGGTGGTCTGAGACTGGGCTCGTGCTTGTAATCCCAGGGCTTGGGAGGCTGAGAACAGGAGGATCACTACAAGTCTGGTCTGTGTAGTGAGACCCTGTAGACGCTATATTAAATACATTTTTTTAAAAAACCCAAAACAATAACAACAAAAAACCCCAAATACTGTGAAATTCATATTATAAATGAATTTGGTCATTATTTTATGAACTGCAATTGAATTTGCTCAATATTTTGAGCATGGTCAAAATATTTTCACTGTTAAGTGAAAATCTGTATCACTTGTAATTTTTTGTTTTAATTCTAACTTGTACTTTCTTTAAAGACTAAAAAATAGAAAAAACAAAGTTCAAAAGCAAAAACAAAGAAAACAATAAAGCCAGTGAGACATTTCTCTTGCCCATTCGCGCCCAAAGGCTAAGCCCAGGAAAATGTAATATTCCTGGTTCCAAATAACTGCTTACACGTGGAATATCCTAGCAACAAGCAATATCCAAAATGAAACATAATAGGTTACACTCCACATATATTTTTTATTAGACACAAGTTATGCTTTATTAGATCCTTTAAAATAGTGTTGAGACATTGGAGCCGTTATATTAAGAAATTCAGTGAATTAAACAATAAAAAGTTCCATATAATTTGAGACCTACATAAGAAGTCAGTCCCCCTTTCCAGCAGAGACAAACACATCTTCGTGCCTGAAGAGCAACACAGAACACACCAACATTCCTCACCGTGGTAGTGTGTGTGTGGGGGGTTCACAGAATCTCATACCTACCCGCTCATCAAACCCAGAGATCCGTGCATGGTACTCAGGCAACGGCTTTCCCCGGCCGTGATACTGACCTAAAATAAAGCACAAAGTTTATTAGATACAGTTTATGACAGAACCTGTTTTTTACATTATCTGTTGCTGAGCGTGGTGGTGCACACCTGTCATCCCAGCACTTGGTAGGCTGAGTCAAGAGGATCTCCATGAGTTCAAGGCCAGCCTGAACAGTGACCGGGAAGGCTGAGGCAGGAGAACTGCTTGAGTCTACATGTTCAAAGCCAGGCAGGGCAACACAGTGAGACCCTGTCTCCAAAAGAACTTCTAAAACAATGCTGTTTCAGTGACTGGCTAATGGAAGTCGGCATGCTAGTCTAAAAGACAAATTCAAAGAGAAAAACTAATGCAATGAGCGGGAACACAGCCTTGCCTCAAGGCAGGCACATGGCACAGGGCTGCACAGGACGGACCTGTACTCAAGTGCTTTTAAAAAAAGAACAAAACAAAATGAAACTGGCTGAACACAACTGCACAGCTGTTAACAGTCTTAAAGAAGAGCGACTGTCCAAATATACTTTCTCTTACATTCAGTGGAATGAGAACATGAGTAACCAGATTAATTTTTTGTTCCTTCTAGCAAATTCCAGTGTGAAGAACGAAAATTACAGATTTCCCTTGAAAAATCACACCTTGTAAGTCGCACATGCTGGTGTATGCCTATAATCCCAGGACTTGGGAGGCTGGGGCAGGCTCAGTGCCCAAGCCTGAAGCCAGTCAGTGCAAGGCCAGCCTAAGCTTTGTAGCAAAACCCTGTCTCAAAAATAAAAGCAAAACAGACAAAACCACCAAAACGGAAAAGGCTATATGTGTGTTTTATATCTGACCAACTTGCTGCATGTCTCCATCGTCAACTCCACAAATCCTCTCTTCTCTGTAGTAGGTCATTTCCAATAATTAGTCCCTTGAAAGGGACCAGCATATACACCCCAGGAAACAAGGCAGTCTGTTTTTTAAGAAAAGTTACTCAGGAGCAAAGCATGGGTAGATTCCAAGGAAATTTATGAGCACCAGTTACCATCAATTACCAAATGACAGTCTAGGGCTGGGGATATAGCTTGGTGGTCTAAGCACCTGCCAGGCAAATGTAAGGACCCGGGTTCAATCCCTGGTATCGCATGCTGTGCCAGCCCTGTGCCAAGCCGGCCACCAAAACCGGGCATAGTAGTGCACGCCTGTAATCCCAGTGCTGGGAAGGCTGAGAAACGAGGATCACTTCGTGTCCAAGGTGCATCATAGTGAGACCATGTACCAAATACGAGATTTAAAAAAATAAAAAATTAAAGAAAATCTAAACACTTGTCATAAGCTGAAATTTTCCTAGCGATAAACAACATGATGAAATTTAAAATTCTGAAGGAAAAAAAAGAGCAGTAACTGTCAGGGCCCAGCCCTGCTGCTGGCGGCTCGCAATCCCGCTGCGCGGTGGGCGGGCGGGCGGGCGCACTCACCAGGAACCTCCAGCTCGCTCCTCAGGAACTCCACGCTGAACTCACTCAGCCAGGGCGAGCACTCCTTCAGGTTTCCAGGAGGCTTTGCGTCTTTTCTCATTTTGAAAAGCAGCCTGTCCGTGATGTCACTAAATTCACTGAGCTTCATTTTAGGCAGCTTAGAACCTCCTTTCCCAAAGTATTTATCAAATTCCTTTCCGAAGGCCTGAAATTAGTAAGAATTTACCGTAAAAATGGGTTTGAACTTTGGAGAAGTCTCTCAGCCTGTGAGTCCCCTTAACAGTTAGTGCCCAGTGACAGGCTTCCTCGTGCTTCTGGGCTTGCGCTTTCACTCCCCTTCAACACTTCAGTTGCTAAAGCATCCGGGCCTGCCTCTGGCTGCGGCTTGGGCTCCTTTGGAAGATCAAGACTTCAGTTATAAGATCTAATAAGGACTTTCAAGATGTGCCAAGGCTGTTAAACTCCTTTGTGTTCACTGTCTAGATCTGTCAATATCATTATGATGACGTGAATCATTAAGAACAATGTTTAACAAAATAAAGGGACTGCCTCAATGAACATGAACAGCCCATTCTTCATATGAGTTCAAGAGAAAATATAATCTGTAAGTGAATGCTACTTTCTCAGTAATGTTCTAAGACACTATTTTGGATTAAAAAAACCAGAATAAACATTATTTAGATAATTTACATTCCAGAAACAATTATTATTAGAAGCATTCTACGTTGGAATATATTAGTCATTTCTTTATGTTAGTCTTAAATATTGATTTGAATGATAATTCTGATAAAAATAAAATCTAAAAGCATTACTACCAGTAACTTAATAGTTGTCAAGACTTACCGGGTCACCATTAATTACAGTTTCACCCAATTCAGAACTATTTCTGTAATATAAATCTGGTATACAAGAATTATATGCTCTATTTTAAGGCAATTCACTATAAGAAAACTGACAAAAAACAATTTCTTTAATCTGTAAGTGAACTGAAAGTATATAATCAGTTCTTCATGCACATGGAGTATTCAGCCTTCTCCCCAGTGCCATCAGCAGTACACACTTGAAAGGCACCAAGTCTTTGAGTGTCTGCTGAAGTGAGATTTATTTTGGTGGTTACTGTTTAAACTAATGAGAATTATTTGTTGGTTTGGTCTGATGTACAAAGTTCTGGGTAGACTTTTGTTTTCTTTTTTTTTTAAATTTTTTTTTATTTAT